AACAAATTTAATCCGCACTGAAATAAGAATAATAATCAGCACAATAGTCAGGCTCAAAATCAAGCCAATAATTTACAAGAGCAAGTTAATCAGCAAGCAGTTGAGAAACTAACACGAGAAAGCTGAAAGATTACTCGGGGAACAATCAGAAAAAATTTTCTTGGTAAAAGTCAGATTTAAAAGATGTGATAAATTTGAGGCCAGATACTGGTAATTATTAGTAGAAAAGTTAAGAACTTGATAATGTTATGATGAGAATAATCTGATCACTTTTCAATGTTGGGTTATTGATCCTTGGGAGTCGAAGCTAATGAAAAGGGGATATTAATAGCATAAAATCTATAACTTTTCGATTTGACAGAGGGGTAACTTATCGGTACCGTTTGCGTGCTAAGGATATTATAATAGGGTATTTGAATCAGTCAGCAGAATGTAATGAAGAAACATCAAAATTACTCACATAAGTGATGAGCTCTTTTTGCTCTGCAAACAGAAACTTTTGGAGGAAGCCCTCTAAATTTCTCATTCGACTATTGAGCGCTTCATATTGACCATTCATTCGATTGTTGAGCGCTTCATATTGACTATTGAGTGCTTCATATTGACCATTCATTCGATTGTTGAGTGCTTCGTATTGACTATTCATTTGATTATTGAGTGCTTCATAGAGACCATTGAGTGACTGATATTGAAAATCGACTTTTGTTTCAAGACGGCTTATTCGATTATTGAGTGCTTCATAATGATTGCTCAGTCGGTTGTGGACGGAATCAAATTTGGCGTCTATTTGCTAGATTAAAATGAGCTGTCAATGATTTCACAAAGAACAAATTATATAATTTGAATTTTTTACGCACGGACACCAGTGGCCTGAGGAGGCTCCACTGAAACCACAAAGTTTGTAGAGTAAAGACACAAACAATGATAGTTCCGATTATGGAAAATGTTGTCCGTTGTCTGACGACATATAACCATACGTCGCTGAAAGTTGTTTCTTGGCGTTGTTGTTGGGAAATTTTGGATAAGGTGAGAGTTTTAGGAAAGCGAAAAAAGTATTGTTTATATAACATAACTTGAGCATCAGGAACGTGACAAATATGATGTAATCTGATAAATGAATAGTGGCCTAACCATGGCACAAAAAAATGTTCGGATCGGAAGCGTCCGAGCTGGAGCTGATGTAGTACTTGTTGAGCAGTAAACAAATCGCGTGCCATATTTGTAAATAAATTTCACACTTTTGTTGTTAGCTACTCAAACGTTCTCTAATTTCAATGCAACTGTCAACTGTGAGCCATCGCTTTTTGGACCCAGGCATTCTTCGGCTATGTACTATGAACATGTAAGGCTTTTTTTACCTCTCAACATAGATATCTCATCAACACCTTATAATTTCTCAATCATATAACATTAGCGTACTGTGTTTAGTCTTTCATAATAACAATGATCGCATCTTGGCCTGTAGTTTTCTTTGTATCATGGGGTAAGCGTTAAACTCATAGATTCTTTGAACAACGTATTAATTATAATGATGTAAGTCGTGAGTTTGAATACCTTAATTTTACTTATGTCAAGAAAGGGCGCTAGTTATATGTTAATTTCACTTATGTTGATTTGAAATTAGTATAGAAAAGGAAATTAGCCATATTAGATATGTTAATTTTGCTTATGTTGAAGGACGTTAGTGTCATTTATTTCAATAAACAATTTATAAACATCAACAAGTCGTTAGAAACTTAAAAAATAACAACTGTTTTTTACTTGTATTTTGAACTTATGAGATAAATAATCTTACAGTTATTATCGTTAGAATAACTTTGACCGAATAGTGTAATCTTTGCGATTTACTAAATATGGTTTTGGTTACGTTTTATGCGGCCAAAATTTTGTAATTAAGTTACCATTTTACCAATTAAGAAAGTATATACAGCTATCATAAAAATGAATAAGACGCGTTGTTGTGAGCCGAGTTGATTATAAACACTTCGGACGTTCCGACCCGAACATATCCACGTGATCTGAACATTTTCACATGATCCGACCAATTTTTTTCGCCATGGCTAGGGTACTACATACATACAAAAAAAGTTACTCGCGATAGGTACTACATACGTACTCTATATTGCGATAGAATGTTTGTTAGAAGAAGTTGGAAAATAAAAGCTTGTTTTATTGTACCGATTAGTGTAGTTACCAAATTGTACCTTTATCTAATCATCCCTTATATACGCAATCTTCATCTTCATTCTGTAACGTTATTTCCATACATGCTCTATATTGCGATAGAATATTTGTCGGGATTGACAGTCTTCTCGTTGATGATAAAACAACGCTTAAGTATGATATCACTGTGATCCAGATATTATAATACAATACGCATAAAGAAAAGTTAAAACTAGTCGACTATTGAACTCTTAACCTTCCTCATTATTATTAATATTCACGTAATGGGATATCTTGTCATAAAAGCGTCTAAATAATATTATCATAGTTTCATAGATCAATTAGTACAGTATGTATTCAACTTGATGCTCATAAAATGGTAAAAAGTGCTTAACTAATAAATTTATTGCTTCGTTCCTTATCATTGGCCGTAAGTAAACCCGTTGGCACTTACCATGTAAACGAATAAAGCAAAAGTTGCTTTGCAGAGGATTAGAGTATATGTTGTTTAACGTGTGTTATTATCGACCGTAAGCTAATATACTCCGAACGGCATAGACACGTAGTTACCCGCTTGTGGTTTGGCTTAACTCTGGTCTTGAAATTAGGACTAAAGTGACTGGAATTACTCTAAATTAAATCCTTATATGTGCATGCTTGTAACGAGCTAATCAAAGTTTTCGAAGAAATCATGTCGCGAAAATGTATTGTCCGAATATCACCGCAGTAACGAATTAACTCAAAGTGCAATGTGATCGGCGAGGTCACGTTAGACTGCAGATCATTTGTATTGTCTGAAGAAAGCATGCTCTATCACCGTCTTAAATGTCAGTAAACGAACAACTGGTGATCTAACTAAAAACTATTTTACAATGCTAACGGTGCAGTGTGATTGAACGAACAACTGGTGATTAACTATTTTACCAGCCAACGGCGGCGCAATCTGATCGGTAATCTTGTTACATCTGGGATTGTATTGTTGGAGTATTGAAAAAGGCGTGATTATGTTCTTTATCTAATAACACGGGAGCAAAAGGTGAACACATAATACAAGTGTAGCAAGTATTATTATGCTTAGATGATTGTTTTATTTACCCAATGATATTAATATTACGCAATTTATTAAAGACCTTTACGTCAAATTAATTTTTCACACACAGATCATTGTACGTAATAAGTTTAACACGAATAACGTATGGTTATTTATCCATCCAATGAAATAACAACTTAATTAAAGAATTGTGCCTTTTCAGGAAGATCATTATGATGAGAATACATAACACGAGTGGCGTCCATCAGAGAATCACGTGAAAAAACAAACGATTCATTCCGGCTCTAATGAATATTGCCAAATGTGGGAAACATATAGTTTATTCAATAATACTAAACTAAGCAGCTCTAGAGGTCCACCTCAGTGTGCTTAATAAAGGACACACAAATCAATAACATTGAACAACGAAAACTGATTCCACAATGCAAAACAACCTTTCAGCTTTATTATGTCATATTTAGAATTAAATTGGATTAATCCTTTGCTCTTTTGTATATACATTCTTGTTATATCAACGTTATAATTTTTAATGAAGCAAACATACTAATACTAGCATGAATTTCGATATTTAAACTTTAAATGTTATAGTGTTACTCTGACGGAAAATATTCACGTTCCGGAAACAGAACATTAAGCATAAATTTATCATGCTCCTTTGTGATAGGCATTCCGAACTGCGCATCACGCGGTCTCACAATGCCGTAGTGATTGATTCTTGTTGGGTAACATACGATATTAGCCTCCCCCGCCCAGTCAAAATCGATGATTTTAAAGTCGTCCATATTTCGGTTTACGAGGATGTTTGCATCCCGTATGTCGCCATGAACCAGGTTGTTACTGTGGAGGGCACCGATGGCTTTTCTGACTTTAGAACCAAGTCTAAGTAAATTATCAGCTGGATCCCGGAATGTGAGGGATGAGTACGGCTTATATACATCAGGGTCCAAGCATTCCATCACCACCATATACCAAATGCTGCCAAGCTTGCGGTAACCAAGCAGCTGCGGCGCACAACCCAATGCAGCACAGATTCGGTGCGCATCCAGCGAGTACGTTTTGGTGAATTTTATGAGTACTGTATCGTCATTGTCCAATTTTCCAATGAATATCAGTCTGTCCGGGTAAGGCTGTAATTCGTAAGTGAATCTGACCTGAGTATTAGATGCTTCGTATGTTGTTGGCCACGGGAATGCTGGCTCTGGTGATAGCTCACAGAATAGTCGTATATGATTTTTCCTCTCTTTAACAGACATCTCGACAACTTGGTAGTATTTTCTTAATTTATCCGTGGCCCGTCGGACAGCGCCAAGGTATCGCGCAAACTTAATTTGGTGTTCACTCGTGCCCAAAATGGGTGTAACCATGAGTATCTCCCCGAGGTGGTTGAGGTGAACAGCATCGTTTGTAAATATCGAACCGGAAAAGCCCACATATGGACCTGTAAGGAAATAAGCAAAAGACACGTTACATTGTAAGTAAAAAATTTCCTTAAATGAGAACGTTGACTTGTAGACTCACCGAAGTAATATAGATGCAAGCAGGGCAAATTGGAAATTGTGGCAGTTAACCCGGTTTTAGTTATGGATTGATAGTAGTAAATTGCACTCTCAAGACAAGGGTCACTATGAATGTTGCATATCTCCTTTTTACATTCTGTAATAAAATAACAATAGTTCCCAACAGCAAGATGGCTGCCTGTATGAGATTGATACGATTGGATACTGTTAGTCTCTAAATTTATGCAATAATGGTCATACCAGTGATT